CAACAGCCTTGGACTGTTCTCCCTGCTCCTGATTTTGTCCTCCATCCTCCACCTAGCTGGTTGGCAGTTCTTACAAATTTAACCAAGGGCATTGACTGCTCACTGGGGCTGCTTCCCCTTCCAGAGATCATAGCTACATATTCACCAGGATTTCCAGGGCCTTTCCAAGACCCTCTTGCACAGGGCTTTGTGTTAGTCCTGAAAGCAGATATGACCCACAGTGACTGTGCATGATCAGGGCTGAAATCATAGGATAGATACAAATAGATACGAGCTACATGCATCTGAAATAAGTAAGACCTAACCTACATTACCAAAAAAGAAAAAATTCATACAAGAAAGTGTTTGCAAAACAGTAATGAAAAGGGGATTACCAGGCTGAAAAGGAATTATGAGGCTCCAAACCACCACCACCACCAAAAAAAAATTACTATGTGAAGGGAACTCAGAAAAGAAATAGACACTGGATTAGGTGGATTGAGATGCCACCAGAACTCTCCAGCAGGTGGCAGAACAGAGAAGTTGCCTTTATTCTCCCAGAATCCTTTAGATTTATTGTAAAATTAGAAATCAAAAAGAACAAGCAAAAATAACCTATCATTTCACCAGCGAGAAATAGTTTTATTTCCTTCTTGTCTTTTTAAATGTATATAATTGAGATTATGCTGTAGATACAATATTTTTTCCTGACTATACCACAAGCATACCTCATGCTCTTCAAAACTTGGTGTGGTGAACTTTTTTTAAAGGGCTACTAGCTGTCCATTGTATTATGATCCATATTTATGTTCTTAGGTTGTCATGTCGGTGGGGGGTTTTGTTTTGTTTTTAAAGATAAGTTGTAGGTAAGGTGTATCAGTAAAGCTTTGTCAGATTTGAATAAAATCAAAGGTAAGGGCATGAGCATTTAGAAAAAAAAAAGTTTAGACCTTCCCTATTGGTGGAATGGGTTAAAGTGCAGCGAGATGAGGCTGTCTGCAGTGACCTCAGCACAAGTTTGATCCCCAGCCAGGGAGGTGACCCACATAGTGTAGCAGACCTCTCCTGACCCACCCACTGCTTCCCTCAGCAGTGTATTTTCAGTAGATCTGCCTGTTCTGATCCCGACTCTGTCTCTTGTGAATCCTCTCATTGCCCCCCATCTCTGGCCTCTACCCCAGTTCTTGTATGCATAAATCTTTTTATTAAAAAGGGGGTGGCAGTCCTCCCTGGTGGCGCAGTGGGTTAAAAGTACAGCACAAAGAAGCTTAAGCCACTTCCACATGAGTTCAATCCCCGCCTGCCCTGGAGGTGACCACATGGCGTGGCAGCCCTCTCCTGACCTGCCTGTTACTCCCCTCAGCAGTGTACCTCGTCAGTCTGCCTGTTCTGCTCCCCACTCTGTCTCCAGTGAAGCCTCTCACCGACCCTGCATTTGTAG